TTTTTTAAGAAAAATAAATTATGCATTCCTATTTGTTCTATGCGTGAGTTGCTTACTAAGGAAGCACATAGTGGTGGTTTGATGGGACACTTTGGTGTAGATAAAACTTTGGCTATTTTGTCTGATCATTTCTTTTGGCCTCACATACAGAAAGATGTCATATTTGTTTGTAATAAATGCATTAAATGTAGACAGGCAAAATCTAAGATCCAACCTCATGGACTTTACTCTCCTTTACCCGTCCCCTCTCACCCTTGGAAATATATCTCTATGGATTTTGTAATTGGATTGCCTAAATCTTCTGCAGGCAAAGATTCCATATTTGTTGTTGTTGATAGGTTCTCTAAGATGGCACACTTTATTGCTTGTGCTAAGACTAATGATGCTATTAACATTGCTGACTTATTCTTTAAAGAGATTGTTCGTTTGCATGGTTTACCTAAGACTATTGTGAGTGACAGAGATGTAAAGTTTCTTAGTCATTTCTGGTGTACCCTATGGCATAAATTAGGGACTAAGTTACTTTTTTCCACTACTGCTCATCCACAAACTAATGGTCAAACTAAGGTAGTTAACAGAACTATGACTACACTATCAAGAGCAATAATTCAGAAGAATTTGAAGAATTGGGTGAATTGTTTACCTCATATTGAATTTGCTTACAACAGGGCTGTTCATTCTTCTACTTCTTATTCTCCATTTGAAATTGTTTATGGTTTCAATCCATTATCTCCTATTGATATTTTACCTTTGCCTTTCTTTGAGCATGCTAATACTGATGGCAAGAAAAAAGCTAAGTTTGTGCAGGACTTACATGCTAAGGTTAAAGCAAACATAGAGCAAAAGAATGAGCAATATGCTAAGCAAGCTAATAAAGGTAGGAGACGTGTGATCTTTGAGCCTAGAGATTGGGTTTGGTTACATTTAAGGAAAGAGAGATTTCCTAATCAAAGGAAGTCCAAACTTCAAGCTCGAGGAGATGGACCTTTTTAAATTTTGGAAAGAATTAATGATAATGCTTACAAGATTGATTTGCCTAGCTCTTATGGCAATGTTAGTGCCACATTTAATGTTTCTGATTTATCTTTATATGATTCTGCAAATTCGAGGACGAATCCTTTCCAACTGGGAGGGAATGATGGACCCCATGGCACGGGTGACATAGCATTAATGTCAACGAAGCCTGAGGATGGTAATCATGAGCATGGTGACATAGAAGGAGCCCAATATTTCCAATCCAACGTACCTAAAGACCCATTACAACATATTGGAGGTCCAATGACAAGAGCCCGAACTAAAGCCATGAAGCAAGCCTTGTTCAGTCTTGTGCAAGAAGTTCAAGAGCTTGGAGAGCATTGGGGCACTCCTCTCAAGCCCAAAGGAGAGCATCTATATGTGTATAATGTATTTAAGATCCAAACTCATGAAGAGTCAAGCCCAAGAGATGCAGACCTTAGCCCAATGCAAGGAAAAATACAAGTTGAGCCTCTTGCAAGCAAGGAGGCATGAAACCCTAGTAAAGAAGTCAAGGTTGGCGTGATTTTAAATCCTTTATGATCCCTTGATTGTCTCCTAAATTATTTCCTATTTTAATGGTCCTTTGATTTGATTTTTTATTTTGAGTCTAGTCAAAGGTTAGAATTAATTATAATATTAATTTCTAAATTTTGTAATCCCATAATTTTAGGATCACATCTCCTAAATTATGTGGCTGAATATTTTATCATTATTTTATATTATTTCTCCTTTTAGTATTAGGAAATTAGGGTTTTAATTTTAGAAAATATTTTTTTATGAACCTATATAAATTAGGCATGCTCCCTATTGTAAACAACACAGAAGTTGAATGAAATTATTCATTTTAGAGTTTATAACTCTTGTGAGCCTTAGTGCTTTGTGGTGGTATCCCATGTGAGAAACAGACGTGATCAAGAGCGTGATCAACTCTTGTGGTGTCTTCGAAGGTTGAGGTTCCTAGAGGCAGGTGCTCTAAAGGATCTTCTCCTTGATCATTATCCTATTGTTTACTTCATACCTTTCTTTATTTTCGTTATAAGTTTCGTCCCTTTCTTTTATTCTTGTGTTTTTGTTGTTTCAGGGTTCTGTCCCTAAACTAGCACGATTCTGCTTCTGCGTCCCTATCATAAGGTTTTGTGATTAGTATGGAGTTGAATGGTTAAGCTTTAAAAGTTTAGGCTCATTTAGCCAAAGAAAATTAGGTTAAAGGATGAAATTGATTGAATAAATGATTTAAGAGGTTGTTATAGTCATTTGAATAGCCTATAGGGCCAATGATTATAAATAATGGATAATGGATTCAAAAAGGGTTAGATTGAACTATTTTATGTGTTAAGAGGTTTGATTAAGCCGAATCAATGCCTATGTTAAGTGTAATGAATTAATTAAGGGGCACTGTGTTATATAGATTGAGCACTAATGGCGTTACTTGTAAGAATCTACTCCCCTGGGAGCTTAGTGTGGTTAGTAACCCTTATGTAGCAGGGGTTAAAGGTAACTGGAGTAACTCTTTTACTTGTTTATTTGTGAAATTGTTTACAAGTATTTTTGTATAACTACGTGCATTGTGTTGTGAACTAATAGAGTAGCAGCATTGTAAAAGAGTATGCATACAGGTGTGTAAGTGTTGATTGAAATGAATTTGAAAGGGCATGTGCATTGACATGCATCACATCTATAAGAATAACCTGGATTATGGCAAGGGGACATTGCTCTACCGTAAGGAGGTCTAAAAAATCTTAATGATCTAGAGCGTAGGACTCTACTAGGACCAACCTAGGAGAAGAATCTTGATGATCCAGAGCGTAGAGCTTGACTCTGCCATGATAGACATAAGATAGTGAATGATCTATGAGGTTATCCTAGACTAAGGTAGGGGATTGTGGTTTTGCTCTGCATAAGGCTAAGAAGTCTTGATGATCCAGAACGTAAAGTTTAACTCTACTATAACGGTCTTAGGAGAGTACCCATATGCAAAGAGGATTACTTGGTCTGAGCAGTGGTATGGTAGGCCCTATTCTTTGTGACTGGAAGTCCTGATCTGAGCATAGAGATTACTCCGCTAGGTGGAACTAAGAATGCATTACATGAGCATAATGAGATTGATGAGAATGAATTCCTATATATGCATATGATATTGCTTTTATTGATACACATGCTACTTTATCATTTGTTTATGATTTTGCTTACTAATCAGTAATTGGGTTACCTCTTAGTTACTAGGACATATGTCTCACTTCATTACTTTTAAACACAGGTGAAGAGAGTGTGAGAAGGCTAAGAAAGGAAGCGAGAAAAGACTAACTTCGCTTGGTAGTGGTATGACTACCATTAGTGTAAATGAATGTATAATATGTTGATAGAGTTAGGTTTCTAACTAAGATGTATAAGTGTATGTGAATATGAGAAAGTAAATTGTGTCGTGAAACCTTACTTGTATATATGTGTGTGTGGTGTTGCATTATGCTGAGGGTGCCCTAATGAGAGAGTATATGGGTAGGCCTAGATGCTAAACAAGTAATTGTATGATGTTATGTAATTTTTTCCACTTGTATATATATGTGTATGTTGAATTTGAATGAATATGATGATTATGTGTTGAATGTGAAGTGTGTAATATGTGAGAACTTAACACAAATGATGAGGAAGAGCCCCATATGTAAGAGTCGGAGGGTTAGAAGTGGAACAAGTCTAGTTATATATATGTAAATATATGTTGTATGTGTATTCCTCATATAAGTCCACAATTGTGTAATGTGGCATTGAGAGGCCAAAATGGACAATTGATGTGATATATGTGGTATATGGTGTTAATCAGGTGTATGTGGTCCTTTTGAACTTAGTTCAAGGCCCGAAGTGGTCTGATGAGACAAGAAATGAGAATTGAATGCTTAGGGTGCAAATTTTTAAAAGAAAAGTGACTTTTTACACCCAAGTGTCTAATTTTAGGTTGGACCATCAGATCAAGTCCAAACTTATTCTATTAGCTAGTATATGTTGTAAGCTTTATGTGGGCGCTTGAATCACTCCAATCAGACGTTGGATGTGAAAATGGCGCTCGCTAGAAGTTTATCTTTCAAGCTGTCATATGATAGCAAAAATTGCTATCATATGCGCTGTGGCACAAGTGGAACTTGCTGAGGTGCATAGCCCATTTTCAAGGTTGAGAAGTTGTGTCTTATTGAGTCATTTGACTACATTTGCGCTTCCGCTAGGCCTTTTATTTGAATATATGTTTCAAGAAGTCGGGATCCCGCGATTTGAAAACAAAAAAAGGCTATCACTAGTACAAAAAGCATATTTCATGACAGTTGAAAACCACCTTTCGCGACACAAGAAGCAGTGTAGTGGAAACAAGTGTAGTTGTAAGTTTACAGCTTTCGCAACAGTCAGAAGGAGTAATGTGGAGAAAAATATAAAATTTTCGTGACAATTATAATAACAACTGTCACGAAATGATGTTTGAGAAGGGACGAATCAACGGACCTTTTTGCGATAGTTGTGTACATAACTGTCGCAAAAGTGTTGCTTTTCGTGACACTTGTTACCAAAACTAGCACGAAAAGTGTTATTTTTCGCTACAGTTTAATACACAACTATCGCGAAAAGTAACATTTAACCACATTTATACATACAACTGTCACGGCATGTGTCCTTTTTTTTAAAAAGAACACGTATTTTGTATGCTTTAAATCCCTTACTTACAAAAGCCTGCATTTAGACATAAACAGCATTCCAGAGACAATTTCAAACATATCCATTAAAATTTCTACATATCCAATACAAGCATCTATCCAATTATCTACTCTAACTTATTAATTCTAAAAAGTAAGTAGACCACATATTCTGTATATGCCCCAGCTCTTGTCTGGAAAATGGCTCTAAACTATTATAATGCTGTATATTAATAAAAATATGTGCATGCATATTAATTCAAGTATAGGTAAAGTGTAAAATATAAATTATTTTTAACAAATTATTACCTTATCAAATGAGTGGGTAATGCCTTGAGTGATGATTTCGTACATGAAAATCATCACATAATAACCACACTCGACACTTCCTGGTTGTCGAGCACACTGTTAAAAAAATTAAAATCATTTTAATTCATCAAATCAATATTATAATCTTTATTCTAATTTGAAAAAGAATTTAAAATACTTACTTGTATATACACCCACTTGATTTCATTTTTTTTCTTGTCAACTATATCCCCCATCCTCCAATAACGATGTAAAGATCTATTTTTCAAATATAAACACTTAGAATATATTAAAAAGATGCTAATAATATCACAAAATAATTATTTAAAAAACTTACGATTCAAACAATAACTTCATATTGTCGCTTACTTCCCATTGTAATGAACAAAACCAATATATAGTATTTTCACGGGGATAGATAATAGGAAGCATCCAATGATTTCTACAAAATATTAGTTTATATTAATATCACATAATTATGCAAATATTTTATAAATAAAGAGATGAATAGGATGTTTGATACCTTTCAATAATTGGTGCAAAAAAACACCTCTTCTTTAGCTTATTCATCGCACTTCCAATATAAGATGCTTTTTAATTCAGTTTCCCAACTGATGTTAAGAGTGGGATAAGAATCCATAATAACGATTGACATCAAGTTAGATGCACATTTTGTAGAGGAACCTTTAATAATAACAAAAATATTAACAATAAATAAAAATAAGAAATATTAAATTAGAAATAAAAATAAACACTTACATGATAAAAACTTGTATTATTGATACATCCAATCACTCCATAATAACGAGAGCATTAATATCATTTCTGGTGACTTGAAAAGTAATATCCTTCCCAACAATGTCCTCACTTACTTGTATTTCATCAATAAATTCATTCATGTCAACAATCATAGAAGCTAACTGTTTCAAGTCATCTCGAATCGGTTGGAGATTGAAACCCAGTGATTCTTTTGATTGTTGAAGTTCCTAATTAATATATAATCAAAATGAGAAATATCTATCATATTAATTAAGAAATATTGAAAATTATAAAGTTTTCATACCTCTTCAGTAACTTGTTGAATAAGCCTTCTCAACCAAATAATAAAAGTTTGTTGAGCTTATCCTACTGTTTGCATCGCCTTAGTAGGAAATAACACAGAAGCATTAGCATCCACGACCACTTCAACAATTATCTTTACTTGATTATCTTGTAACTGCTGGTGGTGGACTATAGTTGAATAGTTATACAATTTTCCATATGCAACTATACGTTTTACAGGATCTTCCAAATAAATTATGCACGACAATCCTTGATCTAAAAAGTTAGAATCATACTCTAGTTGTAGAACACCACCACTTTTTGTGCTTGTTGAGATTGCATATGCATGGAACTGATCATTGATTACATTTCCATCATCAAACTTGATTTGCATTCCACTATCATCTTTTCCACTTGGTGTATTGGCACACTATTAAAGGGTGGTAGTCCAAAATATTGTCTTATACCCACACCTTTTGGAACTCCCTTAACACAGCTGGGATGCTCTTCACTCCCTAAGGCTATGGTTAGTATATCCTTCCTGCTAGTAGATGTAAAGGTCCCCTGAAAGGCTGCTTCTGTAAGAGAATCCTAGAATATGCAAGCAAGCAATGCAATTAGTATATTTAAATCTTATAATCTAGATGTTAACTATTAAAATACTTACAATCTTCGCAGCCACTTCTCTAGCTTCACTAGAAATAAACTTTCCCTTTTTATTCATTCGCCCTCTCTTCCACACTTCAGCACGACTAATAGGAGATGGAGGGGAAATATTTCTAATATCATCAACCCCTATTGCTTGTTTTTTAGCTTCCCATTTCTCCTGAAGCATTATATCATAAACATGTTTATATCCTCCTCGAGACATGGTATAATTGTATGGGTTTTTCTTGCAACGCTCTTGACCTTTTTTACTTTTTTCCTATTAAAAAAGACAATAAGAAATATTTATTAATAATAAAATTTAATAAGAATAATTGAATATCTATTTTTCTTTCACTTACCAAAAATTTGGGATCATATCTACTTTCAACAAATTTTATCCATGTCTCGTAATCAATGAAAGGATACTTATCCCATGGTTGTTGTTTGTTGGTATCATTGTCACTACCATCTTCATTTTCACTGTCAACTTTGGGAAACACGTAATCTCTTGTAAGTTTAGATTTGAAATCCCTCCATCGACTTGCAGCATATAAAGCCACTTGTGCTTGAAAGTGTAAGGTATGTCATAAGTAATCTGTAAAATAACAAATGCCAACAATGAATTTAGTAACAACAGATAATTCGATATAATAAAAAATAATAACTTTAAAAAGCAAAGATGAATTTAGTAACAATTAAAAATGTACCTGTATAATGTGCCAAACTTCATCTCTTTCACTTTCTTTTACATTATCTCATTCATCCTCCAAGATGCTAATCTTTTGACGCGCTACAAGTCCAATGTAACTTTTAAAAAAATTTCCTTTTTTCCTATCAGTTGGCTCACCTGTCTCATCAAAATCAAGGTGAATCTTCCCATCAATTTGGGCCAACTTAGTAAGTCATGTGGTTCCTCTTCTACTTTTTTGGGCTTGTCTTTGTTAGTGCAAGTGCTTGATACATTCTCCATATTTCTCCTAAAACAAACAAGATAATAAGGTTAGTATAATATAATAAATTTAATTAAACTATTTAAAAATAAAAGCATAAACCTTTATAATACTATTCTAATGTTATAATATTAATTACCATTATAATTGTATTTTAATTTTCCCATAAACCTTCATCATGATCAGTTCTCACATCATATACATTATCTTCTTCATCTTCAACATCTAACACAGGCTGCGCTGGCATAAAAGGTGGGATCTCATCAATATCAAAACTTGATTCATCATTATCACCATGAGTAAGGAGACTTTTTCCCAATAAAACCATAGAAAATCTTTTATCTGCTGGATCAATGACATAAAAAACTTGTCTTGCATGAGTAGCCATAATAAAAGGTTCCTCCTTATGATTGGCCTTATTAAGATCAACTAAAGTAAAACCCAGCTTGTCTGTTTGAACATATTTTCTATCAACCCACTTGCACTTGAAAATGGGCACCTTAAATTTGAAGAAGTCAACTTCCCATATTTCATCAATGACTCCAAAATATGACCTGGATGCTAGTGTTGGATTTTTATCTTTCGAACTAGAAAAATATGTTGCTTCGGCTATTACCATCACCCCACTATTTTGTATGGTGCTATTGTCATCTTGATCTTTTGTATAGAATGAATGCCCATTAATATCATATCTACTCCAAGTTTTGACATTAAAGTTAGGACCATTAGCTAACCATCTTAATGTATCAAAAACATTGGACTTTCCACAATCCTCCTTTACCTTTGCCCTAAACCAGAGTGGGAAACATTTGTTGTGCTCACTTAGCAACCATTTTTCGGTCTTTTTAGGATTCTGAACCTTTAATTCCTCTTGATGTGTGATTAAGGAATCCTGAACTTTACTGGTGTTGTTCAATATGTACAAATTTGCTTGTTGCACTTCCTCGCGTGTCATAGGCTTTACTTTCATCCCTCATGTCCCTTGCCCTTCAATTCTCATACCCTCATGGCGAGTCTCTGGAACTCTAACAGATTTTACTTCTGATAAATAATCAGTACAAAACTCAACAACCTCCTCAGCAACATATCTTTCAACAATAGAGGCCTCTGGATGATAGGGATTCTTCATATACCCTTTAAGAATTTTCATGTACCGCTCAAACGGATACATCCAACACAAATAGACGGGGCCGCACAACTTTATTTCTCTTACCAAATGTACAATTAAGTGTACCATTATGTCAAAAAATGATGGAACAAAATACATTTCAAGTTAACATAAGGTAATAACAACATCATTTTGCAAGTCATCTAATTTCTCAAGATCAATGACTTTGCTGCAAATTGCATTGAAGAAGACACATAATCTAATCATTGACTTTCTCACCTTTTCCTCTAGTATATCTCAAATTGCTACTGGTAACAATTGTTGCATTAGTACATGGCAATTGTGAGACTTCAAACCAATTAATTTTAAATCTTTCATGGACACAAGTTTCTTGACGTTTGAAGAATATCCTTGTGGCACTTTAATACCATGTAGACACTCACAAAAACTTTTTTTCTCTCTTTTAGACAAAGTGTGTGGGGCTGGACTCATGTAAGTCCTCTTTCCTTCTATTCTTGGACCCAAGTTTGTTCATACTCCCAGGTCAAGCAAGTCCATTCTTGCTTTTACTCCATCCTTGGTCTTTCCCTTTATGTCTAACAATGTTCCAATTAGACTATCACAAACATTTTTTTCAACATGCATCACATCAAGATTGTGCCTCACCTCAAGGCTACTCCAATAGGGGAAATCAAAGAAGATAAACCTCTTCTTCCATGAATTATTTTGAGATTGTTTCTTCTGGCTCTTACCAAATTGCATATTGATATCTTTCACTCGTTGATACACCAAGCTTGTAGTTAATGGCTTTGGAGGTTCATTATACTCTTGAGAGCCATTGAATTTCTTATTCTATCTACGATAAGGGTGGTCTCATCTTAAGAATCTTCGGTGACCAAGATAGACTGTCTTCTTCCCATGTTTTGGTTATTGATGGGATGTGTTCTCTTCACAAATAGGGCATGCTTTATGCCCCTTAACACTGTATCCAAATAGATTTTCATATGCAGGGAAATCATTTATCGTACAAAAAATCATAGCTCGTAATTTGAAAGACTCATTCTTGTATGAATCTAACACATCCATACCTACCTCCCACATCATCTTCAAATCTTCAATCAATGGAGCCAATTGAATATCTATGTCATTTCCTGGTTGTTTAGGGCCTGAAATCATTAAAGACAGCATAATATATTTGCGTTTCATGCACAACCAAGGAGGGAGATTATAAATCACTAATAGAATAGGTCATGAGCTATGTTGACTGCTAAGATTGCCATAAGGATTCATCCCGTCTGTACAAAGTCCAAGCCTAAGATTTATAGGCTCATTACCAAATTTAGGAAATAATCGAACAATTTCTTTCCATTGTGGCAAATCTACTGGATGTCAAAGCATGCCATCAATTTTTCTCTCATCCGCATGCCATCTGAAGTTCTTTGCCTCGTTTTCATTAGAGAATAACTTTTTAAATCTTGGTATTATTGAAAGATACCACAACACCTTTGCTGGAGGCCTCTTGGTAATCAAATCATCGTCACTACCATTCATCTCTTTTACTTTGTAGCGTGATGCCCCACAGACTGGACACACATCCAACCCTTCAAAATCATTTCTGTATAATATGCAGTCATTGGGGTAAGCATGTATCTTTTGATACCCCAACCCCATTGGACATAATATTTTTTTTGCCTCATAGTAACTACTTGGAAGTTCAGTACCCTCTGGAAGGATCTCTTTCAATAGTCTAAGTAACTGTGTGAAACTTTTATTGCTCCACCCATATTTTGCTTTCAAGTTGAACAACTTTAACACAGCTGTTAATCATGTATATTTTGTGCACCCTAGATACAAAGGCTTTTCTGAATCATTGCACAAGCTATCATATTTGTGTACTTTCTCAACACCTTCAACACCAATATCATTTAACATATCATCTATTCGATCAAACAAATCCATATCATCATCATCCTCATCCTGTGGCACAACACTTCGTTTTCTAGATTCTCCATACAATACTCATTGTATATATGCTTTGTAGAAACCAAAACAAATTAGGTGATCCTTTATCTCCACAGGACTTCGTCGCAATCCATTCAAGCATTTAACATAAGGACAATAGAATAATCCTTTATTATTAGGAACATTGTTCTTTGCAAATTTCAAAAATTGGTCTACCCCCCCTCATATTCATCACTTATCCGCAAAGCATCTATCCAACTATAATTCATGATTACCTAATTAAAATATGAAAAATTATTTTATATTTTGAAATTAAAAAAAATCAACAGCATAACGGCTTATAAATTGACATTGCTTGGGCACAAAACCCTTATTTGACCAATTTCAACAAATGTCAATAGATAATCAACAATTATAGACTCCAATCCACAATTAATTCAAGCTTTTTCACTCATTTAAGCTATCAAATAATTATCAAATTAAAATATGAACAATTATTTTAAACGGATGACCAATAATTACATATAGAATTCACAACCAATTGAAGTTATCAAATAGTTACCTAATTAAAATATGAATTATGCTTAAAAATTTTATATCAAATTTATATTAAAAATAAAAAAATTAATCTAATAAAAAGTATGCGAAAAAATTTAATCTAATAAAAAATTTTATATCAAGTTAAAATTTCAACAAATTTCAATAGATAATCAATAATTATAGACTCTAATCCACAATCAATTCAAGCTTTTTCACACATTCAAGCTATCAAATAATTATCAAATTAAAATATGAACAATTATTTTAAACAGATGATCAATAATTACATATAGAATTCACAACCAATTCAAGCTATCAAACAGTTACCTAATTAAAATATGAATTATGCTTAAAAATTTTATATCAAATTTATATTAAAAATAAAATTAAATAAAAAATATATCAAGTTAAAAATATATGAAAAATAAAAAAATTAATTTAATAAAAAATATATGAAAAAATTTAATCTGATAAAAATTTTTATATCAAGTTAAAAATTATGCATATAAATTTTACATCAAATTTCTATTAAAAGTAAATAATTAATTTGATAAAAAAATATAAAGGAAAAGGCGGAACATAATAATGGGTGTAAAAAATTATTCCTAAAAATTTTAATATATTAAAAATAAATAATTAATGCCATAAAAAATATAAGTAAAAAGAACTTAGTTACGTGCATTGGGAGAAAAACATGAAAAACAAAATTAAAAGAAATACATGGCTAAACATGCAAGAGCTTACCTGGATTAATGCACCAAGCTGGAGGCCGAAGAAAGATTAATGACAGTCACTAGCGAGCTAAAGGTGGACAGGAGAAGCTGAAGGGTAGAGAGGAGGAGCTGAGGGTGGAGAGAAAGAAGCTGAAAGATGAGGATGAGTTGAAGGTGAAGGGCGAAGAAGCAGCTGGAGGGAGCTGGAGCTACGACAGAGCTAACAGCAGAGGGAGACGAAGGCGAGCTGAAGGCATGAGCTGAAGGAAAGGCAGGAAAGGCGCGAGAGAGAGCTGAAGGTTTTACGAAAACAATAAAAAGGGGATTAAAAACGTAACATATAACGACAGGTTTCATTAAACCTGTCGTTATATGTTGTTCACGGTTTCTGCAAATTTACTACTGCTGTTTGGAACTCATTCATTGACATAACAATTCCGAATCAGCTGCCTTCTGAAAAACCTTACCGACAGTATAATAATATTATAAATATTATCATCAGTTATATAATAATAAATAGTTAAAATTATATTATCGCATATAATAATAAAAATAAATTATATCTTATAATATTTATCTAAATTTATTATTAATAATATTATTTATACTAAAACTAAGGAAATATAGACTATATTAATGACAGCTTTCAATAAACCTGTCATTAATATATTTTCTAAACTATATATATTGATTATTATAATATA